CAGGAGATGAGGTATCGGGGGGACTTCAAGTTTGGTCCTAGGTATTGCCTCTGACCTGGACCAAAGCATAACTTCCCCATGCCTCACTTTCCTCATTTCTACAGTCAAGGGATAATGCAGTTCTCACTAGCAGATAAAATTGTTTTATGATTAGTGACATATTTGGCATTTGCCTTATTCCCTTAAATAAACATCTTCATTCCTTTTCATGGTCAGTTTGCACTTTCAATGACACTCATTCAGTATGTGTGTGCAGTTATGTTATCAAGTTTGACTGCCTCATTCTGGCTCACAACATAACACAATTCCCTGTGGGGGACCTATTTTGTTCTATCAGTTTTCATAGGGTATTAGCAATTGTTCTCATTTCAAGTAAGTATTGTTCTGGGTCCTGTTAGCCAACCCATTTGTTTAGGCAAGTAAGAACTGTCCTAAGAATTGCTTCAGGAGAGAGAGAAGCATTATGGCCTACAGATACATTGGGTGCCATTATAAAAGTGGTATTTACTGCCCTTTGGTATTTATGGTATTCCCAGCACTTGGAATGATAAATTTAACTGTGGTAAATGTCCAGCTTCTAGTGTGCTCAGTGTATTTGAAGAATGAAAACACCACGGAAGGGTGGTACATATCAGGAACATTGGGGTGAAATGTAAACTGTTAGTGAAAACATTCAGATTTCCTAAGAAAGTTGATCCATGTTATTTTAGAACATTAAATAAGACTGGATGAAACACTGTCAGGTGCCTTAGGAAGAACAGCCTTACAATGGCAGGAAGGATTAAGCAGTCTGACTTGCATCCCTGTGTATCTAAGAGTAAGAGATAGCTGTTGGTGAATCTAATTCAGGGTATAACAGGAACAACTGAAGGCTCTTTTCTTCTGCAATCAAAGCTTCCCCTCCCCTGCACAATAACATGTTCTAGATGTGTATTGTTTTCTTTTCAGGTGGCCGATCTGATTATTCTGTCCATCTACACAATGGAGATTTTGCTGCAGTTATATGTGGATCCCTTGAATTACTGGAGGAGTGGCTATCACCTGTTTGATTTTATCTTGCTTGTCATTGCTTACCTCCCATATACCATTGACAAAAATGACGTCAGACACTACAGAACATGGAGCATAATTAATGGTTTCCAGGCACTCAAGATTCTGAAGCTTATCTCCTACAGCAGAGACATGAGGGTAAATTGATGAGCTATAGTTTAGGTGGAAACGCAATGACCTGGATATGAAAATCAGAATTGCAACTGCTCTTTCCTTTCTTTTGATTTCAGTTTTTTATTTTCCCACTTTTCTGTTGCCCTTTGGATCACATTAATAGCTGACCATCAATAGCTGACAAGGGAGCAGCAGAGGACTAGCATTCCACCATGCAAAAGGCCTAGCTTCCATTATCCTAGGTTGCTTTTTAACCCTCATTTCTGAAATGGCCTGAATGTGAATTATCCTGGGTGATTCTTGCTGTTCAACTGTGTTCTGCACCACTTGAGTGGCAGCCATTGCTGACACTTGTGTCAAAACCAGGTCATTTTCATAGAGTAGACAGCTTCCATTGCCAGAAGCAGCGGGCAATGCCTAGGGGAACATGCTCAGGGTATGGCTGATGTTCCTTAGGGAGCCCAACTAGCATTATGCTTTGTAATTATCCCCCATCCTCTTAAAATTACAGATCAAACCTTTCTAGTCTAGCATCCTCGGGATCTGACTGGTGCTGAACCAGAGAATTTGCCGGACCATGGGAGGTCAATGTTGTTTAGCAGCATTACCAACACTTCCACTGCTTATTGGGCTCTTGGAAGACGTTTAGGGGTAAATTAGAGCTAAATAACAGAATGCTGACAGCCAACGCTGACGGTGGCTGTAAACAAACTGTAGGGGATGGCGGGAAACTTGGCCACACCTATAATAAGTGGGCATCCAGCTAACTAAAAGCATGCTGGATCACAGATGTTCCTAGACCAGAGAGTGCCGGATTAGAGAGGCTCTACCTGTAGTGGGGTTTTCAGCAAAGGCTCTTCAGTCTTCTGACAGCAGGCCATAGAAGGCTAAAAGAGCAATAAAAGGGTCACAACTCACTGAACTCATGATTGAATAAGGGCAGGATAAAATGGAGTAAGAGTGTTCGCACACAAAGTTGCACCAGTTTAAATAAATGGATGCAACTTCAGTTGTGGAATGGGGCTTGGTCTCTAGTGAAATTGTGCATAGGTATAGCTATGTCAGTCACAGCTGTGGAAAACAATGCCCCTGTGAAAAAAGCAATACCCCTAACCAATGTGGCTATGCCAGCAAAACCCTTGGCATAGGCACAGCTATGGAGACAGACGTGTGCTTGTATAAACACAACAGAATTCGGAATTGATGTTCTTGCACTCAAAGAAAAACTCCTTCTGTTGGTACATGCTACATCTATATTAGAGGACTACGTAGACTGTGTAGCACAGAACTAGCCTACATCTCCGTTATAAGCTATTGCAATGCCTGTGACATTGCAGTGGAAGTAAATGCAGGATTGTGGCACCACTAAAGAAATAAAGCAGAATAAGAAATGATTGTGGCTGCTTACAAAGGAGACAGCCTGGCTACGTCAAGACTGGCATGATTTTCCGCAAATGCTTTTAACGGAAAAATTTTCAATTAAAAGCATTTGCGGAAAAGAGCATCTAGATCAGCACGGATGCTTTTCCGCAAAAGCACTTTTTGCGGAAAAGCATCCGTGCCAATCTAGACGCGCTTTTCCGCAAAAAAGCCCCGATCGCCATTTTCGCGATTGGGGCTTTTTTGCGCAAAACAAATCTGAGCTGTCTACACTGGCCCTTTTGCGCAAAAGGACTTTTGCCCGAACGAGAGCAGCATAGTATTTCCGCAAGAAGCACTGATTTCTTACATGAGATCGTCAGTGTTCTTGCGGAAATTCAAGCGGCCAGTGTAAACAGCTGGCAAATTTTTCCACAAAAGCAGCTGCTTTTGCGGAAAAACTTGCCCGTCTAAACACAGTCGAAGTGTCTGTATAAGGTGCTTTTTCTAAAGAACCCGCTCCAAAGTAGCTTGATGAGAACTGAGTTCAATTCAGTCCTAACCTAGTTAGAAACATCACCTCAGTAATGTAAGCAATTTTTGTTAGGCCCTTGAGTGATCATGGATTTCACTTAATTTTGTTGTAAACCCTTTTAGTGGTTATAGTTTGTGCTGTAGTATAAAGGTAGCTATAACTGTTTCAGTGTTCTTTGTATGTTAACAGTGTGTGCTGAGCCTTGTGGAATGATGTTGGTTGTTACTTGACTGGGGGGTGAAAGTGAATACATTTAATATTTTTAAGTTTTAAAAAGTCCACAGCATAAATATTATTGCTTGCTTTCATTTTACCATAATGTTGTGAAGGGGGAAAAAAAGCTATTAAAAATGTCACACATGATTTTAATCCATGAGTTTTTCTCTGAAGCCCACCAGCCCTTAGTTTTCTCTGGAGGTTTCCCTGGAGGTTTATTTTTTTAGTAGGGAGTTAATGTGGGTAGTGACTGCTCAGTCTGCATTTGTGCAAGTAATTAATTGGTTGGGTAGCCCACCAGAAGTTGAACATTTATTGGCATAATGCTCTTATAATGTTCACTTCCGAGCCTTCCTTCCTCTAGTTTGGATCGTAAATTTCATTGATTGCCAGACTTTTATATGTTAATTATTCAGTGTAGCTAGAAGAGAGAACAAAATTGAGCTATGTGAAATAATGAGTGTGTCAGGTGCTGCTGCCTATCCTTTCTGACAGAAGAACAGCAAGCAAGCTGAACAAGTCATTTACATTTTCCAAAAGCATTTTTTCCATCACAGTGCATGCTTAACTTGTGGAACTCATTGCCACTAGGTAGTAGTGAGACAAAAATCTTATCATGGTTTTAAACTATAAAATAATACAATGTAGCATAAAATTGGGCATCTAACTCATATTACACTTAATCTGATTAGGCACATTTGAAGCTCTCCATAGACACTCATTTGCAGTGGGACTTAGGTTCTTATGTCTCTTAAGTACTTTGAGCATTTCTGTGGATAAGAACACCCAAGTTATGGGATTAAAAATGAATAAGAGCTGTAAATTCTCATGCTTCAGGGCATAAGCCTGCCACTTTCTGTTCCAAGGCAACTAGAATAATCCTTTCTATGCAGGTTATCCTGTAATCATCCATCATCCTGGTTCTTGTATCCTCCTCTGAAGTATTTGGTTCTGGCTGGACAATTCGTCTGAGCCAGCCTGGCATTTCTTGTGTTCGTAAAGACCAAAGCTCTTTGCTCAAAGACATTCTTTATAAAATACACTATAATCTGCTCCAGTGAGCTTTGCTGAAGGGCTGGGAGGTTGTTTTTGCCTATATGCGTATTATAATTAATTAATTGAAGTTTATATTAGCTTTTACCTCGGAAACTGTATTTAATGCTGAAAACTCAAATGTATAACATTCTTGGCATGGTTCCAATTATTAATTAAAAAACTCTTTAAAACACTCTGTCTTCCACCTTGGGGCAATAAATTTCCACCTCGAGGAAATAATTTCCTTGCTGTATTCCATACAGAGCAGTTCTGTTAGCTGTGATGCCAGTCGTCATGTAGGCTCCATTCATCCTTATTTCAGTTTGAAAATAAACTTTTTAAATACCAGGTTGTTCCAAAGATCAACTTTTATGCTTTTTTTAAAATGTATTTGGGATCGATTTCAACATGGTTCACAGTTTAGGAAGACCATGAGCCACAAAGCAGCTGCCTACTAGCAGAAGCACATAGGGAGTCTTACAGATTTCTGGAGGTGAACAGGAATGTCAGGATGTGCCAGAGAAACTAAAAATTATTTGATGCTTTTCTACGAGGGCCCTTGCTAGATTGCAGTCGCCAATGGCATTTTATGACTCTCTTGTTACCTTTAGCTATGGGTGATCATTGTTCTTTAGGATCTTGTGGACAAGCCAAATTTGCTGAACATCATGACATGCCTTGTAGGGATGTGAGTGGTTAACTGGTAAGCCTCACCTTTAATGGGTGAAGCTTACTGGTTCCAGTTAACTGGTGGGGGCTGCAGAAGCTACCCGCTGGCCATGGCAAGGGGCTGTTCCAGCCCCGTGGGACCCACTGTGGACAGGGGTGCTCCAACCTGGCCAGAGCAGCTGCTATCCATGGCAGACTTGGCCTGCTCTGGGCATACTGCAGGCAGGTGTTCCAGTTGGCTGGTGCAGCCCCTGTCCGCAGCAGGGGGGCTGCTTCAGCCTGGCCCGCAGCAGGCAGGTGAGGCTGCCCCAGCTCACCCAGGCTGGAGTGGCCCCGCCCCTACCTCCCTTTAATTGGTTAACGGGTTAAACATTACATTTAACTGGTTAGCCAATTAGATGGGATTTTACATCACCAATGCCTTGGTAAAAAAATCACCTTTTTTGTGTAAATTGGCTTTTGTTCCCACTCTGGGACACAGATACAAGAATAAAATTAGGCAGTGAGTGCTTGAGATTAACAGGGTTCAGGCGGTGGCTAGGTTTTCAAAACCAAAAGATGAAGGCAGCCAATGTGAGTTACCTTTAACAAGTGTAACCAGATCTCTGTATGTCTGTTATTAGTAACACTGTACAAAGTGTTAGTTTCTATAAGAAAGGGCATACAGTTTCTATGCTCTGTATGCACTAGAGATGTTGACATGATTGCCACATGCCAAAGCAGGTCTGGCATTTCATCCGGCAGAGAGCCGAGGTGTTGATCAATAATAAATAATGTGGAATATAAATATTGTAACTTATATTAAAGTGTACAGTCTATAGAGCTGAATAAACAAATCACTGTAGGACATTTTAGTTTGTATGGTCTTTGCTAGTGCTTTTTATATAGCCTGTTGGAAAGCTAGGCAAATAGCTTGATGGCATCAATGTACCCCCTGGAAGACCTCTGCATACTCCTACAAGTATTCATACTCCTGGTTGAGAATCACTGCATTATAAAACCTAATTTTCAGTTGACTATAGCTTTGCCAAACATTAGCCCTGCAGGCTGAAATTTTGCATGCTGGGAGTCTGCCTCGGGCTAAATTGTTTGGAAAACTTCACTCAAAACGGTTCAGTCACTTCTAAGTACAAAGCTAGGAAAAATACATTGTTTTGCCCATGCTAAAATACTCTGGGAACCTCTTCTCTGAAAAGCTCTGCTGCTCCTA